AGCAGCGTCTTCTTGCTCCGCCGCCAGCCCCTCCCGTCAGAGTACAGCCCTCCTCATCCCGACAAGCTGCAGGGCTCACAGGGGAGAAGATTTAAAAATTATTCATTGAGGAGGATGGGTGTGCATAATGTGTTAGGATTTGTGTCAGGAGCGAACCCAGAGTGCAGAACAGGGACTCAACTTGGCAGTTATACAAAAAATAGGTTTTTAATGATAAATGAAAAGTACAAAATAAACAAGCTGACGGGGCAGCAAAACTTACATAAACAAGGAAGGAGGCACAGGGAACTCAGGAGACACGGGGAACTCGAGGGACCAGGAAGACAAGGAGAGACTCAGGAGACCCAAGGAAGCGTACCCAACGAAGACGACCCGACGAAGAACAAGACAGAATAGGATGGCTTAAGTACCGGGAGAAGACGAGACATGATGACAAACAGCTGGGACGAGACACAGGTGGCAACAATGGAAACTAATGAGGAAGCACGAGGGAAACAGACAAACCAGGCCACAGAAAAGTACCATCCTTACATAATGATGGGTTGAGTTTTTGGAATAAAACGTAAACATCATTCAGGAATTAGTGTTTTCAGCCTGACTGTCAGTTTGTACGATCTCACAGCGGCTTTTCCTCACACATCCTCCACACAAGCGGGCCGGTGTACTCCAACAGGGTTTAAATCACCGCAGCCCGAGAAAAAAAACAAAATGTGCGCGTGAGCGACACAGCAGTCAAAGTGAATGTTTTCAGCAGACCAAGTCCAGTGGGAAACCTCGCTCTCAGACCAAGCTGTGCGCCACGCCAGCTCACATCAGCAAGGATGTGAGCCCGCAGCTTGAGCACAGCACAGAGGCGCCGCGCCCCCGTGGCATTGGCAGCCCACACACGGCCCCGCATGCTCAGGGGCGCGCGTTTTTTTCCTAAGCGCTCGCCAGCTCACATCAGCATGGATGTGAGCCCGCAGCCTGTGTGCGGCATAGAACAGCCCAAATGTTACACATTGTAAGACAGTTGTTGTGTTGGGTACACCAAAATCTGCTCTCCATCAGAGCAGTGTACATCCCTGGTGTTCTGAACAGGGGGCGGATGTGATGTCCAGGGACGGTCCGCGTCCCGGGGACCGGAACCCCCATCCAGAGCTGATGGCTCAGACATGACAGAAATTTAGCAAAGCAGCCGTGGTCCTGTTTGCAACACGAGAGAACGCTCAACGTCAACTATGGTTCTCACTGAGCCCGCGGGACGAACCACCGCTAGGGGTGGACGCGTTTGCTCACAGCCTGTGGCCCAAAACGCTTTAGGGCTGCAACAACGAATCGATAAAATCAATAAAAATCGATGATTAAAAGTGTTGGCAATGAATTTCGTTATCGATTTGTTGTGTCGCGCAATTATGCGTCTTTCACGGCGCTGCGGAGCCGTTTCGTTTTGTTCACCTGCAGTTCATTGTCAATGCTGACTGACTGAATAAAGTTTGAAAAAAAAAAGTGCAGAGTTGAACAGAGCGAGGGGGGAGGAGGAAGCAGAGCAGAGTGTTTTCAAAGAAAAAAAAGTAAATTTTACAAATGACCAACGCAGCGAAAACTGTTCGACACAAGTCCTCCAAAGTGTGGGAGAACTTCACAAAGATAAAAAATGAGAAACATGCAGCTTTGAAAATTGACGACACGACACTGGAGAACCACGGAGATGAAATGTAAACACGTCAGAGTCACGAGGAGGAGGAAGGAGCTGCAGCTGATACAACTCTTCATGTGTTGCAGGTGAGTCTCTACAATTTAACAC